ATATAGTAGCAACCTAATATTTGTAAGGCATAATTAATAATAAAAGCATATACATTTGAGCAACAAAGGAAATAGTAAATATATACATTCGGGGAAAAGATGCAAAAAAAATATTCATTAAATGAAAGAGAAATAATACATAAACATTTAAGGATAAAACTGACCCAAAGGATCTAAGGGATTAAGTAAAGTTTAATAACTTCAAATCCAGAGTCTAACAACTTCCTAGCCTAAACACCATCAGCTAAACAACACCAACAACTAGATATGAAATTGACTCATAATGCTAAACCTAATACTATAGTTCATAACCTCATGAAAATCACCGCAATCCAATATGATTGAGAAGTAATAATAATTTTCTTAATAGAAGTTTAATTAACATTTTTAGATTATATAATTAATTTGCAATGTTTCAAAATACTTACCTCCTAACAAAATCAATAAATATGATAGTGTTAGTTATTATGAAGATCCACCTCGCATAAAGTTCTAATGGTATATCTTCAACAAAATACGTCTCCAAATTCAAAATCCATATCAATTTTTTAAGCGATTATTATTATATTATTATTTTTAATAATAATTGTTTTTCAATCTTCATTTAATATATAGTTTATTTTTTAAAATTTAAAAGGGAATTGTATAAGATTTTCAAGTCTAACCAAATCGTGAAAAAAAATATAATTTTCTTTTGTAAATGTAAATAGCGTATATGAAATATAATATTATATTCCGTATGCAAAATTTGAAACAATTGTTGGATTATCTAGTGCAAATTTGAATTTTCAAAGGAATAAGCCCACAAAAACTTTAAAATTTAAAAACACAAATTATCAACTACAAATAGTAACTCCCATAAGAAAATAAACAATTCATCAAAAACATGTTGGCACCTATATACTGCTGGCAAAAGCTTCTTTTTAGAGTGCACATTAAGTCCTATAATTACATAGATTTTAAAAGTGCATTACCTTAATAAGAAATTAAACGAAACTACAATGTTATAATAAGAAAATAACCAAAATTGTGTTTCATAATTGAATACACTGATATATTTGAAACTGCATTGGTTATGTTACGTTCCGTTCCTCTTTTAATCAAAAAGCTTGATATACCATGGATACTATCCTCTGTTCATGAGAAACTACATAACGCATTCATATTTACCACCCAACTACTAAAATATGACACCCGAAGGAAGTAAACATATAATATAAATGCAGGTAAATTAATATAGTTTCGTGAATGTCATTAGAAAGGGAAACCTGTTAATTACCTAAAGTTGGATATGGCTGATAATAAATAAAAATAGTTGCCACACAGGTCAAGAAAGTTCTTATACATGCAACCTTTAGCCTAATGGTATTATCAACAACCGCACAGGAACCATGAGTTCAAGAGTTGTGTAAAAGAAATATGAAGATAACAGAAGAAGAAACTTAGGTAATGTAAAGTAATTACCGTTAGATTTTAAGTAATCCAACACAAAGATACCTACACTATCAATATAATTTTTTTTTAACAGTGAAATTAGTCATAAATGATTAGAGTTAGTAAGAAAAAGAAGCAAACCTAAAACGATGAAGCAAATGTCCGACAAATTCTTGCTCTCAATTTCTCATTTGGTAGTCTTTGTCTATATCCACCATCATTTGATTAAATTATTGAGAAACAAAGCTTATCACAAATAAGATTCAGTAAGCTTAATGAAAAATAAGGGACAACCATTTTGGGTTAAATAAAAAATATAACAACATGGTTTCATTGAATTGTCTAATATAGTGGAAAAGTAAAAGAATGCACGTCAAGAGCAAAAAAAAAAAGTTGATCTCAAACTATAGGAAATAGACAAAGTCGGGATGGAAGAGACCAAACTCGAAAAACCCACATATAAAAAAAATCAAGAAATCTCTCATCAGATTATGGGTCTTTTGAGATAAGCACTTTTTTAGCTGGAAAAATCAACATTAGCCGCAGGTCCTTATTTCACACTGAAATCCCCCATCTATTTTCGTTTTTAGATGCACATCCTAAAATCTCTCATTTGATTTTATTTAAAATAAAATACCTAGATCAGGAATATTTTATTCAAAAACAAAACTCAAAAAATCCCAACGACAAAAAGAAATTGAGAAACCAAACCTGAGTAAACCATAAGATAAAAATAGTCCCTCTGTTCCTAGCAACCTGTATGCAACCCAATTGATCATCATCAGGCTTCGTATCCATTACGTTTTCCAAGTTATCTTCATCACTTAATCTGATCTATCTAGTGCAATGTTGTCATAAAATAGCAAGCCCTACAACACCAATAATCAATAATCACCCACTTCATAAAAAAAACCCATCATATTAAAAATATGGAGAGACTCTATTAAAGATTTGAACCCCACCTAACAAACTTTGTTTTTCCTTTACGTTTGTTTATGATTCAGGGGCATAGTTGTCTACTCATTAGGTTCCTCTATCCAAAAAATGTCTCATTTGCCTCTTTATTTTTCACACTATTCAAAAATAGAAGACACTTTCTTCAAAATACGCAACTAAAACATAGATAATTGCATTAAGAGTAAACCTTTTAGAAAATGCAGCATAACATAATCAACTCAAGTTCTTTTTTACATTAGGTCGGAACTAATGAGATTTATTAATTTACCTAGTAATAGATCTCTGAAAGAAACTTGAAAACACAAACCATTATAGCATATAATGATTTTACCCTAGATTTCGAATGAAATCATACTAAAATACACAAAAAAAAACATTATAAGATGGTGGTAAGTTAGTTTAGGGTTTTTATATAGAGAGAGAACCACATATAAAAAGAAATTACAGAATGAACCAAACCTAATCAAGAAACTCAAGCAACAGCAGGTCTTCAAATCCTGAAAATGAAAAATAGGTAACCATTGAACATACCTGGTGAAAAGGAATAACATTCAAATAATAATGATGATATTTGAAAATCATTTTACAGATAAAGGTACCTACAACAAAAAATCAGCAAAGGTTTAAGAGTATTAAAAGAAAATTACCCCATAGTATTCATCGAAATCATTTACTTTGAAATCCTGAAAATCAGGAGATTATGCCATTGATTTGTTCTTGACGATGCGATCTTGGTGTTGGGTTGGTTTGTGATATCTTTTTGATTTGGTGAAGAAGAAGGAGCAGTTATATGAAAGAATAGGAGAGAAGAAAGAGTAGCCATACCTTAAATTGGGGACGAAATTACCTCTTCCACTAAACCTTCAAAATCCCTTGCCACCGTCTGTGCTTCAGAAGAAAAGACCCAAATTGGGGTTCACATGGAAATACAAATTTCAACCAAAAAATAAACCCAAATTGCTATTTCTTATGTATGATCGTGCGCAGAATTTAAAATTATACATAAAATAGAAGTGTGTGTTTGTATGTGATTAAAAACCAGAAAGTGGAGAGTTACCTCTTGCAAGTTTATATGTGATCGTAAACGGGAGAAGAAGAGAGGTCTGGAAGTGAAACATCCAACGGATGTAGTGCAACTTATAAAGGGTCGACATGATGAGAAGAGGGTTTCTGGAGAACCGGGGAACATAAGGGAGGCGAGACACAATATATATGAGAAGGAGGCGAGATTCGAGAGGTGAAGTCGGAATTCAAAATTATCATAACAAAATAGCGAAATATTGGGGAATTATTAGTTGAACGTAATGAATGCTTCTTCGTCTTTGACCAATTCAATTTGAAGATGAAAGCATGAGACTTTTTCAAAATATGCACCATTCAACTTGCTCACCGCATAAGATTCATGATTTTTGTAATGCATAAAGTTAATGTACATATTGCATAAGGAGTTGTATCTCTTAAAATTCAGCATTTGAGGCTAAATGCTTTTTAAGGTATATATATATACTAGCCGTTTACCCGCGTCAAACAATGGGTGCGAATAGTTTTTTCAGAAATTAGTTTCTAGAGGCGAGTAATTCTTTTGCGCAAATAGTTTACTACATCTAAACAATTATCAAGCGACGGGTGCAAATAGTTTTTTCATAACTTAGTTTCATACGTTGGATTTATTGTGTCGAAAATAGATCTTTTCTATTTCATGATAACATATTTGATTTCGGAGAACAAAAAATGTATTATAAATATTTTAGTCCAAAACCCTAAAGTCTATCATCTGCATTTATTCTGTTATGTTATGTATTATAAATATCTAAGTCCAAAATAAATCATTTATTGTGTTATGTTACGACAATGTCCAAACCCTAAAGTCTATCATCTGCATTTAAATGTAGGTTTATCATTTAAATGAAAATTTTATATTGGGCCTTAAATTGGTTGGATCAGATTCAACTTCAGTTTCAGCTTCACGTTTGGGTTCCGGGTATCCGACTTTATTTTTCTGAAAAAAGTTTTTCATTAGTGACAAATTTTATATTTCACTAAAGGTTAATTCTTTCTTTTAAATGTATATTTTGATTTATTTTTAAAATTTTTTTAACCAAATTATAAAAGAGCAAATTATGTGTTTAGATTTACTTTTTGTTTTGACCATCTACGGTTAATATATTTATAAAAAATCAAGAAAATAAGATAAAAGCTATTTAATTACAAAAAAATAACACAGTAATAATGAAATGGATATTAACATATTATTTAGCGAAGACTTTTTAAAAACATTATATATAAACGTTCTATTTTGCATGTCACTCATTCATAATAAAGGGAAAAAAAATTATAACATAATTCATATAAAAAGTGTTTACATAGAAATTCCAAAATCACACCATATATATTACAGTTCTTGTGTTATTTTCTTTTTACCTCTAATCTAATTCATATACTAAAGTAAAACATTATAGCTTGCATTAATGCTCTCTTTTAATCCAGATGAAGCCTAAAATGTAAAATAAAAGAAGGATAAAACGCCATGAAAAAAAAATCCATATCTTGTCAGCTCTCACAACAAAAAGTGCATTTATATGCAATTCCAAAATCATACAAAATCAAACCTCATAAATACATTATTACATACTATGAACAATCTATATTTCTAACTTAAAACATAGCAAAAAGAATTAAAAAAAAACAAAAAAACAAAAAAAACAAAAAGAACACCAAAAATGCAGAAATATTTTAGTCTGGAAGGAATAATGACATTTCTATAATGTATTGTAATGCTACAACTCAACGAAATTAAAGGAGGAACCAATTAGGGGCAAAAAGGTACATTCTAATATTCAAAAAACAAACAAATCAACTTCTTCCAACCTATCAAAAGCCCCACCAAGTGGTCCATCTTCCACTCCATAATCTTCATGAAAATTCAAAAGAAAAATTATAAAAACTCAGGAATCAAATTGTAAATTAAACAGTTAAATTATCTTGAAGCACTTTAGGTTGTTTTGGGTTCAAAATTAGAAACACATTTATCTTCAAAAATGGTAATTTGATTCCCTCCGTAAACTTCTTTTACATACAATTTTTTTAAAAATTAATTGAAAACCTGAATTACATAGTAATAGAACATCAAAATTCAAAGAAATGCCAATGAACATGTTAAATTAAAGCTCTTGTTTCTACCTGCTTAAGATTAGCTTCCACATTTACACGAATGTCCAGATTCTTAAGTGAGTTCAAGGAGAGACAAACGATAAACACAGTTATCTTATTATCACGACTTCAACATGTGTGCATTTTCACACCATTGCTCCTTTAATACACTCAAATCCATCATTTCCTCATTCTTGAACTACTACATGCAGATAATCCACAATAATCAGAAAAAACACATAATAGACCAAATCCATGAAAAATTATTATAGTACCCTTTTTGTCTCGTGAAATTGTGACACTTTATCTAATTGTCAAATTATATAAATTACCCATCCTAAAATGGGTCACAAAAGGTAAGCATTTCTTTCTAATCCCACTAACATTCAAACCCTTTGATTTACAACTTGAGGTTTAATAATGAAAATTAGAATATTTATTTCCTTGGTATGTATTCTAAAATCTGATATGGCTCCGCACACAAATCCTTGTTTCATGTTTATTGAAAAGGTATTGAAGATGTTTGGCGGATAATTAAACATTCAAGTCCATAGGGAATAAAATATAATACCTTTTCTTCTGTGTATCATTTCCTTATGAGCCTCTTTCTTCAGTTCTTCAAGTTGTGCTTTTGCAAGATTTGGCTCCGGTCTTCATACTTTGGCAACTCTTCATTCTAGATCCCCTACACAAGCACCAAAAAGGGCTAATTTAAGCTTTGGAAATATTTAACAAGCTTCAAATATTTTTTTAAAAACAGGAAAATTAGCTTATTTATGATTTATTTTAGCAAACTCTGGCATTGATGGGGCCATCCCATTATTTATATTTCTCATAAGTAGCTTCTTAAGTCATTTCTCGAGTGCATTCATCATCGTACCCTCCATATCCACTTGATCCACACACACTCCTATAAATTAAAGTATGCAATAAACATTAATCAGATATTTTAAACATGAATGCAGATAAAACTACAATTTCCAAAATGGTAAGGGTCGAAATTGATAATATAAGTAAAAAAAATACATGAAGAATGTAAATGAGGCAATACATGACAAACCACAAAGTAATTAGCAATAAAGAGAAAAGAGACACACTCGTACTGCTCCAATAAGAAAAAGGTATACAAAAATTTGTAAATCAGCCCGGTTTAGTTGATCGTCACAGTAAAAACAGATAGCTGAAATTAAGAAAACCTTGTTATGCCTTTTTGTGTTTTCCTGCAAGTACCCCCTCTTTAACCTCAGGCAAGTCGCAATGATCCTCATCATCAGTAAGCTCCCTCCATAAGCATCACACTGAAATAAAATCTTCAACGAAAAACAAAAGATGGGGGTTTTATGTACGTAGAGAGGAAATGAAAAAGTAAACACAAATTTGTATCCCTATGTTCTTTCTTGTAAATCCTTCTCGAATGAACTAACGATTGGGTTTTATCTAAACACGAATCTGGATCGTTTAAAGAGAGGTGAAACCTTCTCGATTTCTAGATCTGTTCTTGTACATATTTACCTCAAATCGAACCCACAACTGGAACTATGTTCTAGGAGTATCGATGTGGAATGAAAGAGAGAGATGTGAGAAAAAAACAAAAGATGGTTATGGAGGTGTAGATAGGGTGTGTGGCAATGAATGACATGTGTGACTATGGTCAATTGACGACAATAGAGAGTGGTGGTGGCATGGTAGCTGAGTTTAGGGTTTGCTGAGAAAAGGAAGCGTATTCTAAAAAAGCCTCAAATTTCGAAAATTAAACGGGGTCCAGGAAGAGGATGTATCTTAGTGAATGTGTGTATATGTGCGTGTGGGACAAACAGGCTGCAAATGAATACATTAAACCCACATGTGGAACAGAGTCTGCAAATTTGGGGAGAAAGACGATGGAACATATAAAGATGGGTCTGATTATAAGCCCTAAAATCGATGGCCATGGTAAGGAGCAAAATGTCGACATTAAGTTGTAGACGGTGATAGTGGTGGCGAGCAAGTTCACATCTTTTAGACCATGAAACAACATATATGATATTTTCCCTTACGAAGATGGTCCGATATTCTATGGTTTCTAGGGTTTAGATTTGGGGTGTCTTCGGTTTCTTAGAGAGAACGGGGTGGTGCGCGGTGGTGACCGTAATAAAAGAAGATAAGAGAAAGAAAGAAGGTGAAATAGAGATTATGTGAAATCTTACCTGAGGGCGGTGACTGGAAATAAAAAAGACTGTGGTAATGGCGCTGCTGACTTCATTGGATTCCTAAAAATCCATTTAAAACATAAATCAGAAAGATATTAAATCGATAAAAACTGATGATGGTGGTGTAGACGACGGTGTGTGGTGGTGGAAGTCACCGGTTAGGTAAGAAAGAGGCGGCGGTGTTAACTGATCATAGAGATGAAGGGGGAGAACAACATTCGTGTTTGGAGGGAAAATATGAGAGAGAGAGAGAGAGTGTGTGTGTGTGTGTGTGAGAGAGAGAGAGAGAGTGTGTATGTGTGGTCATCATTTAAGGAGATTGGGGTATAGATCATGGTGACGGTTGTGGCTGCAAATGAATACATTAAACCCACATGTGGAACCGAGTCTGCAAATTTGGGGAGAAAGACGATGGAACATATAAAGATGGGTCTGATTATAAGCCCTAAAATCGATGGCCATGGTAAGGAGCAAAATGTCGACATTAAGTTGTAGACGGTGATAGTGGTGGCGAGCAAGTTCACATCTTTTAGACCATGAAACAACATATATGATATTTTCCCCTACGAAGATGGTCCGATATTCTATGGTTTCTAGGGTTTAGATTTGGGGTGTCTTCGGTTTCTTAGAGAGAACGGGGTGGTGCGCGGTGGTGACCGTAATAAAAGAAGATAAGAGAAAGAAAGAAGGTGAAATAGAGATTATGTGAAATCTTACCTGAGGGCGGTGACTGGAAATAAAAAAGACTGTGGTAATGGCGCTGCTGACTTCATTGGATTCCTAAAAATCCATTTAAAACATAAATCAGAAAGATATTAAATCGATAAAAACTGATGATGGTGGTGTAGACGACGGTGTGTGGTGGTGGAAGTCACCGGTTAGGTAAGAAAGAGGCGGCGGTGTTAACTGATCATAGAGATGAAGGGGGAGAACAACATTCGTGTTTGGAGGGAAAATATGAGAGAGAGAGAGAGAGAGTGTGTGTGTGTGTGTGTGAGAGAGAGAGAGAGAGAGTGTGTGTATGTGTGGTCATCATTTAAGGAGATTGGGGTATAGATCATGGTGACGGTTGTGGAAGCCTGTAACAGTGGCGGTGAGTGGTTGTAGTAGAGGCTGAGTTATGGGCGGCGTATTTTAGGTTTCATGAAGACCGATGAGAGTGGGATAAAAGATAAAATGGAAATGCTTTATAACTTGTATAGGGGCTAGACCGATTCAATCGGATATCCGTAGTACTTGGTCAAACTTTGACCCATTCAAAATTTTATCATTTTATTTGACTTTTTCAAATGTTGACCGATTCATTATTTTTTAAAGCATAAAGTTATTATACATATTGTAGAAGAGGTTGTACCTCTTAAAATTCAACATTTTGGGGTAAATGCTTATTAAAGTAATAAGATATATATATATATATATATATATATATATATATATATATATATATATATATATATATATATATATATATATATATATATATATATATATATACTAGGTTATAACCCGTGTTCCACACGGTTAACAAATTAAAATAAGCTAGATAAAAACAAAAACATTGCCATTAATCATAAATTTACAAATTCTTGTGGTGATATTTTATAGCAACATACTTCCATTCAAATGTGTAGAATACCATCTCACTTTGGTAGTTGGAGCTTCTATTGTGCTATATATTTTGATTCATTTCTAAGTCCTAGGTACTTGATATATTTGTTTCCATCATCACTAACAGTTGTAGCTTATCTATCCTAACCCAATAAGGCATTCATGTAGTCTTGATGTGGTTGATAATTGGAAACAGATGTCTTAAATATAGTAACCTGCATTCTAAATCATTACCCTATGTGCTCTAATGGAAAAACAAAAGATCATGGAAACACAAACTGCTTTACAAATAATGTAAATGCTAATAGATGTTGCCTAGCAGTAATTAAAACAACACTAATAGATTTTCCTATTTTTGTTATGTATTGGACATCTTACCAATAAAAATCATTGGTTCTCAAAGCATTCATGACTAATCTACACTATGTTAATGAAAAGAGTTGCCACTTTAATGACAAGATTAATAGATGACAGATGAAAATAAAAAAAATGATAAAAGTAAAGTTACCCATCCTAATGGTTTGTGTAGAACAAACATAAGTTGAAATCCTTAAAGTAATTATAAACAACAGTCCTTATTTAAATATATTTACATAAATGGTCCCTATGTGAAAATAATTAGTCACATAGAGGTCTTAATTTCTCTTTGCATAAAAGTAAAGCATAAATGGAAATAAAAATAAAAGTATGATGCAATATTAGACACAAAAATGAAAGTACATTGCTATTTTCTGTAAATTAACATTTGGTGGTGATGATGTCATAATGAAGCTTACATTGAGTTATGAAATTAACTATCTAACCCTTCTAAAAATTAACTGTTTTTATTATAATTATTATTATTATTATTATTATTTAATATAGCATCTACCTTCGAGTTCTAAAAAAATAGTTTGCATGAATGATTGAATGGTCCGTATTTAAATAAATTAACATAAATGGTCCTATACAAAAGTAATGCAAAAATGGAAAAACAAAAATAAAAGTATGATGTTATATTAGACATAAAAATGAAAGTACAATGTCATTTATTAAAAATTAACTTTTGATGATGATTTACAAGTTCTTAGAAAAAATACATAAAGGAACCATATTTTTTTTAATTACTTCATATTATCCAAACATTAGTTTATATGATCCTCAATGAAATGCAAAAACTTAGTTTTTTTTAACTAAATAACTGAATAATAAAAGCAATAATTACATACAGGAAACAAAGTTTTCCAAAACTCAACATTAGTATTAGTTGGGAGCTTAAACCATCTTAGTAGCCCAAGAAACTAACTTAATCAAGGATCCAACATGAAAAGAGAGAGTTGATGTTGCATAGAAATGGAAAACATTCAAGACCTTCTTACTATAAATATTACTCACCACATTGCCAGACCACCAAGCTGCAAAATACTGTTCAATTTTAATCTCCTGATCAACCTCAAATTGAGCCATTTAGTCCACCTTGATGTCCAATGGTTGCGAATGGGCAGCCTCATACGTTGCACACAAATTTATGGTTAAATTTTCTAATAGACGTGAGATTTAATTACATACCTAGTTTTTATTAATAGGTACTTTATCTGTCCTTATTTTTATTATTATTAATATACATACAACCAGCTTATTCAGTTATATTTACTTTTTATTAATATACATCTTGGCTGCAACTTATGTTCTTACTAATATATGTTTTTTTAAGATCGACAGAACATGAAAAGGAAAATAAAAGCTAACAGTTACATATTAAACTCACTTTTTTTTCTAGCAACTATCAAACTATTGAAAAGAAAGTAAAAGTACCAACCAAGTTAGCAAAAGAATTGCTTACTTTATATTTTTATTTCTTTTGTACTCAAGTTTAACGAAAACATAATAACAATAATAATAATAATAATAATAATAATAATAATAATAATTGTTTGCCAACTCTTTCATTTGAGATGCTCAGGAAACATCTATTTTTTCTTCACATATACAAACAAAAAACATTGAATTAACATCTATGTGCTAGTTTTTATGTGTGCAGAATCCAAAAAAATAAAGCAGAAACTTTGAACAACTGCATAAAAAACTGCCAAAAAATTACAGAAACTATTTTTTTGAATTGCAGAAAAACGCAACAATAAAATTTGTGAACTGCAGTAAATTAGCATAATCTATAACCACAAAAAATTGGAAAGTGCACGAAAAAAGAAATATAAATTAGAATAATTTTAAAAAAAAAAAGTTGTCACCACCACTTCCACTATGGATGGAAGAAACCGAAACCCAAATGCATCTTTCAAGAAATGGCATTTGGGGGAATTGTTGTCACCTGTGCAAAACAACTCAAAGTTCAACATAGATATGGGTCATGTAAGATTAAAAAAATGTTTGTTTGGGGCATTTTGGGTAATTTGACATCAATTCCTTTTTAAAATGAAGTAAAATTGACTCAATTATGAGAAGCAAAAGTCACAGTTATAGCGTCCTATGAATGATAAACAAAGTTGTAACTATAAAGAAGTAAATTTCATGTGTCAAGGCGGATCTTATTAGGTGTAAATCTATTAAAATGAAGGAAACTAAATATGTTTCTCATTTTGTAATATGGTATCAACTTCTTTGGATCCTACATTGTAGCTCTTCCCTCTTTTACTTATTCTTCTCCACCGACCAACCCTACCTTCTGTGTAGAACTACCGCCACACCTTCCCATATCTTCTCTCATGTCGAATACTACTCCATCCCCACCACACAAAGCTTTTGGATTTCTAACATCAAGTCCCATATCCTGCTGATCCTCGACATCCAACGCCTTAATTATGATTCCTGGAGAACTCTTTTTACAACCCAAAGCAAAGCATATGGAACACTCGATCATATTGACTCTACGTATGATCCCCCAAATGTTGCCTCTACCACCACTGAGTGGAAGGATGTTGTTGCAGGTTTTCTCATGTGGATTTTTACCACCATTTCTCAGTCACTTGTCGAGACCGTCCTCAAACCAGATGTTACCATCACCATGGGAGATCAATCTGTTACTGAATATTTCTCAAAAGTTCCAAACATAGCCAGATTTAATTGCCAATCTTGATGTTAAATCTGCTATCAAAGACAAGAAACTGGTGAACTATGTTATTTATGGCTTGTCATCCCACTATGATTACATCACAACCATCATTAAGCACAACAAACCCATGCTTACCTTCTTGGAAGTTCAATTCATGTTATCTATCAAAGAACAACGCATGCCAAATAATCTAATTTCTCAAGTCTTTGCGAACACTGGTCACCCCTCTTCGCCCTCCTCCCTTTAAGGCTTTAAGCTAGAGCACCTTCCGATTGACGTCATGAATGTCTGTAAGAATGTCGGACAGACCGTCACTCCGATCTACGCTCATACTGTCGTCATCAACCCTCGTCGACTCAGCATCAATCATTGTCACCCTTTCTACTGACACTCGCCAACTGCAATCGTTCCAACCTTGAATTGGGTTATGGTTCCATCCGAACAATATTTATCACTTTAGGCCCACTTCCTCTCAACATTATTGGTCCTAAACTCAACAATGAATCTTTGGGCCACGTCCTAATCGGTCCAGTAACTCCAATAAAATTTACGCCTCTGAGCCCATTTGTGTCAGCCACATCCACTAGACAGACTTTACAAGGCCCGATTCAACCTCTTTGGACCTTGCTTGGAACGGACCACTAGCCCACCTATTTACCACAAATGTTTAGTTCAATCTTCAATGTCTTTACATGAACAGGGCGAATGGAGAATGGATATATATGCCACCGATCACGTTAATGCAAATCCATGTATTCTCGACAATCTATTTGCAATACTAATCTATATCGTCATATCCTAGTTTGTAATTATTTCAAAGTGTGTTTACCTGTGACTGTAATTATGACTGGACACACCTTTTTTCTAGTAAAAAAATCATCAACTTCCTTCATATTTGCATAACATTCTTGTCACCCCTTCTATTATTAAAAATCTTATTTTTTGTACGCAAATTTATTGGCCAAAATAAATATTCTATTGAGTTTGATAAGTTTGGTTTTACTATCAGGGATTGCATATCACAATTGGTAAAAATTGGTCAGACTTCGGCGGTCAAACCACCGCGGACTGTTATGTATTAAGGACCAATCGTGTGTGATTTTATGTTTATAATGTATATTAAAGGTAGGGAAATTGAGTAATCTAACCACTTTTTAATGGTATTTTAAAAATAATAACCATTTTTTTATCTAAAAACTAACCATTTGGTCCGGAATGGGTCATTTCAGACTTGAAACACCGGCCCAAGCCCAATATTGTAGCCTAAAGGTATATAAAATGGTCCCACACACAAAAATCTGGAATACGCGTTCCGAAATTTACAAATCCGAAGCACGATCTACCTATATTTCGGACCAAATTTTCAGCATGGATACGTCAAATCAAGTAAGTTCTACTCTTTAAGTTACTTTGCATTTGATTTTATAAACGGATTTACGTATTCCGGAATGGTCCAGAATACGAGGAACGACTCTAGAAAACTATCATTGAATCTGGATTATCATTTTTTTAATCTTTTTCTCCTTGTACGCTTATGAATCTCATGTAAGTACCTTGTAGTGTGTTTTAGATCAGTTCTTTTAGTCTGGAAGTAGGTTTTGTAGGGATTCTGGAATGATACTGTAAGTCCGGAACACGAAGAACATGGTCCGGAACCCGATGAACTATTCCAAAATGATGTTACGAGATATCAATCTGGAATAACTATACTTATCATTTTTTTTCTAAATATTCTTTAATAACCAATGTTAGTCCAAAGACAAGTTTGTGTGGATGTTGTTAAAAAAAGTGGGTTTTACGGATGACGAAGTTGTATTCCATTTACACGAGCTTTCAGAATTGTGTCCGGTAAAGGTAAAATCGGAAAACAAAAATTTATAATTTTAATTTATTTTTACGGTAATGTATTAACATGTTCTTGGAATTTTGGTTTTGCAGATAAAAAACTAAGATGCTGAGTTACAAAATAAAATAAAAATAAACTAGCAAAGGCACCTATAAAATTAAGAAAGAAATCAGAAAGGGTGTTACAAACTTAATTGAAAGCAGATAGAGCTCCGAAAGGCAAAATTTCAATCTTCAATGTCTTTACATGAACCGGGCGAATGGAAAATGGATATAGATGCCACCGACCACGTTAATGCAAATCCATGTATTCTCGACAATCTATTTGCAATACTAATCTATATCGTCATATCCTAGTTGGTAATTATTTCAAAGTGTCTGTAACTGTGACTGTAATTATGACTGGACACACCTTTTTTCTAGTAAAAAAATCATCAACTTCCTTCACATTTGCATAACATTCTTGTCACCCCTTCTATTATTAAAAATCTTATTTTTTGTACGCAAATTTATTGGCCAAAATAAATATTCTATTGAGTTTGATGAGTTTGGTTTTACTGCCAAGGATTGCATATAACAATTGGTAAAAATTGGTCAGATTTCGGCGGTCAAACCACCGCGGACCGTTCTTTATTAAGGACCAATCGTGTGTGATTTTATGTTTATAATGTATATTAAAGGTAGGGAAATTGAGTAATCTAACCACTTTTTAATGGTATTTCAATAATAATAACCATTTTTTTATCTGAAAACTAACAACTTGGTCTGGAATGGGTCATTTTAGACTTGAAACACCGACCCAAGCCCAATATTGTAGCTTAAAGGTATATAAAAGGGTCCCACACACAAAAATCTGGAATACGCGTTCCGAAATTTGCAAATCCGAAGCACGATCTACCTGTATTTCGGACCAAATTTTCAGCATGGATACGTCAAAGCAAGTAAGTTCTACTCTTTAAGTTACTTTGCATTTGATTTTATAAACGGATTTACATATTCTGGAATGGTCCAGAATACGAGGAACGACTCTAGAATACTATCATTGAATATGGATTATCATTTTTTTAATCTTTTTCTCCTTGAACGTTTATGAATCTCATGTAAGTACCTTGTAGTGTGTTTTAGATCAGTTCTTTTAGTCTGGAAGTAGGTTTTGTAGGGATTCTGGAATGATACTGTAAGTCCGGAACACGATGAACATCGTCCGGAACCCAATGAACTATTCCAGAATGATGTTACGGGATATCAATCTGGAATAACTATACTTACCATTTTTTTTTTCTAAATAGTGTTTAATAACCCATTTGAGTCCAAATACGAGTTTGCGTGGATATTGTTAAAAAAAGTTGGTTTTACAGACGACGAAGTTGTATTCCATTTACACGAGCTTTCGGAATTGTGTCCGGTAAAGGTAAAATCGGAAAACAAAAATTTATAATTTTAATCTATTTTTACGGTAATGTATTAACATGTTCTTGGAATTTTGGTTTTGCAGATAAAAAACTAAGATGCTGAGTTACAAAATAAAATAAAAATAAACTAGCAAAGGCAC